TGTTCCTTGGCATAAAGCAATTGCACTGCCATTAGGCCTGTGGGTACTACGACTTAATGTGACACCTGTTTGTACATTATCAATGAAAAAAGTATTCAGTAATGCTTAACTGTGGTAAGTAAACTCTATTAGTGAGGGCTGTGATGGGAGGTAGTTTGGCTCCTGTGAGGGTGCATTGCTCTATGGGAAAGAGATTGGGCATAGCTATAAACAGGCAAGAGCAAGCAGGGCAAAAATAAATTTACAGGCAAGGAGCAGAGCATGGTTAGTGGGTGGAAAATGATCAAGAGGAAACATCAAGAATCAGGGAGATTCGGGCCCGGCACGGTGGCGCAAGTGGTTAAGTCCTCGCCTTGCACGCCCGGGATCCCATATGGGCGCCGGTTCTAATCCCGGCAGCCCCGCTTCCCTTCCAGCTCCCTGCCTGTGGCCTGGGAAAGCAGTCGAGGACGGCCCAAGGCTTTGGGAACCTGCACCCGCGTGGGAGACCCAGAAGAGGCTCCTGGCTTCGGATCGGCATAGTATCGGCCCGTTGCGCTCACTTGGGGAGTGAATCATCGGACGGAAGATCTTCCTCTCTGTCTCTCCTCTTTGTATATCCGCCTTTCCAATGAAAAAAATAATAAAAATAAATCTTTAAAAAAAAAAAAAAGAATCAGGGAGATTCAGGCCTTTTCACTGAACACGGTCCATGAAGATCAGACAATTACCAGCTCCCTTACCTGGGGGTGGCAAGAGAGGAGAAATTCCATTAGATTCTGAGGATAGGAACTCTGACTCAACTGACTTTACAAAAGTTTTACTCAAACTACACGTTTCAGAGAAGACATGAAATCCAAAAGTCAGATTAATTTTGGAACAGATCTTGGGGATTGAGCAGAGGTGGATTGTTGTTGACATGGTATAATGCCTCCCAACACAATTTCTACTCTGGTCATTCTTTTTGAATTTGCAGCAGGCAAGCATCCATTGTATACCTACACTGCCATAAAATGCTTAAATAGCAGAATGTTGGACTTGTGACTGTGGCTGAAAGACTATGCTACTATAACGATAAGGAGGAACACGGTATGGGGGAACTAGAGAAGGTGGAGGAGGAAATCCCTGTGCCTGTGGAACTGTATCATGAGAAACAAAAATAATGCCAAAAGAATGACTTTAGAAAATTGAAACAGGAAAGATCTAGCAAAAACACACATCTTTCCAGATGTATGTGTGTAAAAAAATTTTTTTTTTTCTCTGAACCGTGACAAGAACGTTTTTTCTTTCAGATAATTTTCACCAGTTTTTATTTGGAGCCGTTTTATTGTGTAGACCATATTTACATATTTGGATAATTACACAAAGCACCAATGCTGTTAATGGCCTTAGCAGAGGCTCATGCTAATATTTGCCAGTAAGACAAGTTTAAAGACTGGCAGGTACAACATTATCACATAAGTGTCAATATAAAGTTGTGTGATAAAGGAAGCTGGATATTTTTAGCACGATGGGCATGATAATTTATATGCTTGGTGGCTGTGGTGCTGATTAAGCTGTAATTAAAATTCTCCTCATCCCATTGGAGTTTTTAATAGAAGCTTCCTCTAACAATTGGCAGAGTCATTTTGGAGACATCTTGCTGGTGACTCAGAGCACCTGCATACAGGCTATTTCATTCTTCAGTTCAACTTTGAAAGTGGACCAAAACACCATTTAATTCTTGATCTGTATTTATTTGAAGAGGAAGAGAAATCTAACTTCGGGCTAATTCCACAAACACATGTGTTGGTTGAGAATGGACTTGGTCAAAGTAGGAGACTCAATCTACAGCTCCCACTGACTGGCAGCAACTGAATTTCAAGAATCATTGCTGCTGCCCCCTAGAATCATCTGGTGGTCTTCTGGCTTACTCAAGCCACTTTATTTAAACCCCAAGTTGGTAAAATAATTACAAGAAAAAAAAACACACAACACTGCCTAGAAAACAGGGCTGCTAATCTATGACTTAGCTTTGACATGGGGGAATGAATCAGAGTAGAACTTACAAAGTGACTGGTTGTAACTGATTGGGAACATTTTGTAAGAGATATAAGTTGCTTACTTAGGTCCATTTCCTTGAATCTGCAGGAAGATTATGTGCAGATTAAAATTTATTAGTTATTTTTCTGTTTTTTTTATCTTTTCTATTTTCATGTGCTTCTGGTTGAAATGTGCACTCAGAGAATATAGTGTGCAGGCCATCTGTAGCTAGTGATTTTCCAGTCCTAATACTTCTGGTTCTAAGGAGAGGAGGTGATATGGCCATGGCAGCATCCAGGAAGCCATAGTAATGTTGGATCGGCTGGGTGAACAGGCAGGAAAGACAAAGCATGAGCTAGGTCCCCTCTGCCCCTCACCAGCACTGGAGCCCCAGAAATACACTTTTTATCATTAGCTATGGGCATTAGCTGAGGATCAAGATATGAGAGGTACCAGATGAATGGTTGGTGAGTTGGCAACATAAAAAAATGAATGGTTGGTAATCAGAAAAATAACCAAATAGGGGCATCATTAAGCCAAACAAAGGATGGCTACTAGGCTGAATTATGAGAGTTCCTGGTGAAAAGCAGATGCCCAGCTTCCTTCATGCTAACTGGTGGGCACTGGGTGGGGAACCTACACAGCTGCCTTTTGTTTTGGAACACACTTTTGCTACCACTGTTCTGCTGCTGTGTGCCTAGACATGAACAAGAGATTGTTAAGATGAACCAAAACAGTGGACAATGTAAATTCATGTTCACTGAATACCTGGAAATAAGGCTTGAAATGGTTGTACTTAAAGGGTTGCAGATAAACAAGGGACATTTCTGTTATCCCTTCCTCATTTTTCTAAGTCTGTGCTCCCTACTTGCTTGGGAACACTCACAGCAGACACACGTGGTGGTGTCTCACAGTCTTCTTTGGGGGAAGTGTCCTTTGAGTTTGAACTCACAGATGCCCTGGCTGATGGCTGTTTTCTTCTTCTTCACTTTCTCCTTTCTTTTGGCATGATGTTCGTAATTCTTGTCAGAAATGATCATATTACAGCCATTTGGAGATAACAGACCCTTCTATGTCACTTTTTAAAAAAAGATTCAATTTATTTTCATTGGAAAAGCAGATTTACAGATGGAAGGAAGTAAGAGAGAAAGATCTTCCATCTACTGGTTCACTCCCCAGATGGGTGCAATAGCTGGATCTGAGACAACCTGAAGCTTGGAGCCTGAAGCCAGGAGCTTCTTCCAGGACTCCCACATGGGTGCAGGGTCCCTAGGCTTTGGGCCGTCCTCCACTGCTTTCCCATGTCCTAAGCAGAAAGCTGGACATGAAATGGAACAGTTGGGGCAGTAACTAGCTCTCTTATGGGATCCTAGTTCTTGCAAGGGGAGGATTAGCTATTTGAGCCATCACACCAGGCCCCCAAATCACATTTTAAACTATATATTGGGAGTGCAAATTGCTGATAGATTTGGCAACAGGATCACAAGATTCTTCATAGTTATACTAGAGTGTTACTTTCCAAATGTAAAGGAATTACCCATTGGTAAGTCAAAATAGATGTGCCACAGTTGTTTTATTTATGTTTTTCATTCCAACTGTGGATAAATATCTGAACTAAAGTTGACAGTGAAATTAAGAAAAAAATAAGTTTTGTGTCATGTTATTATAAGAAAACACAAGCACGAGGACCTGGCAGGACCTGGGGGCCTTTCTTTGCAAGGCCTAGGAGTGAGCCATGACAGCCTCTGGAAGTGGCACATGCACTGCGGGTTCCGAGCCTGTGAAGGAATTTCCATCAAGCAGCCTAATTTTTACCTAAGCCAGAGGAATGTCATCATGATAGGGAAATGATGACTTAACATTTTAATTATCATGACTTCTTTTTCTAAAAGTATACCAGAAATTGAACTCTTAAAAGGATTAAATCTCTACGTGGTTTTTTTCAGGAACTTTTTGGGGACCTTCTCATACACTCTGAAAAGTTTTTAAAATTATAGATGTTTTAGTTGATTGAAGTCACATACAGCATTCCTTATTACAATAAGGTGCTCAGCAATATAACCCTCTTTCCTGTCAAATATGTTCAGAGTACCCTTTTATCTCTGGAGTTTTCTTGCATGCAGTGTGACCCAATTACCACCGCAGGCAGACAGACTTGTGACTGCTTCTCACCCAGGGCTCTGTTTTTAACCCTCAGGAGAGATAAAAGGAATCAGTAATGATTTTTTTTTGCTCTTTTGCAATGCAGACGTTTTGAAAAAGAGAGCATTATAAGCCATCAGTCGCAATTATATTTGGTGAGAAAAAAAAATGCTAGAAAAGATGAGAGGGATCAGTGACTACCTGTATACCTAAATGAGCAAGTTCAGCAAGGAGGCTGGAGGCTTCCTGTTAGCATCTGAAGGTGACCATTCAAGGCATTACATTTTAACCAAGCCTGCTCCCATGGTCAGCCTGTATCCTGATGGCAAGTTGCAAAGGCTGGGAAGGTGTGTCCTGCAGGATCGTAGGAGGAAAGGGCCAATGGCCTGGACTGTCTGCATGGATCAGGCACTGGTGCCTTCACAAGCCTCCCGTGAGCTGTTGCGCCTCTATCATTCCTTTAAAGTCCTCTCTATGAAAAAAGTTAAAATACCACAACTAAATCACAAGGACTGTTCGTTAATGGAAAACACGGGTATTTCACTACTGGCGGTTTTAGTTCCTAGTTTACTGTTAAGCAAAAATGTGCTCATTTTATGTCATGCTAATTATTTATAACCACTTTTCATGTTGTAAAATGACTTTTAAACTATATTAATATGGAAATGTATTCTCTCTGTTCTAGATAGGCGTGACTAAGTAATTCGTGAAAACTTAATTGTTAAGATCGGTGAAGAGAAATCCCGCCGTCAAAATGTGAAGGGTGGAGGGGCATTAGAGAAAACATTTCCACTCTAATTAATTAATCTAGCAATTAATAGACACTCAACAGTTGCGATTCTTGCCTGCTTATGTAGGCGTCTGCACTCCAACGCTCTCGTTTGTGACTGCGATGTGCTACGGCTGAGGGAACTACTGCAAGGTTATGCTCAACTTGGCCAGTCGCAGGCGAGTGCCACCTGTGAACATCCAGCAAGACTCCAGGGGCGCTCGGTTGCCTCCATCCCGTGGAGGAGTTCAGCTGTGGTACGTGATGTTCTCTGTGAGTATCAAAAGGGAATGCCGTTAATCTGTTCTCTTTCTGTGAAGATCTATTACAGGAAGCTGCGTATGGAAGAGGATCTAAAGGGATTCAGTCAGAAATGAACCCAACCTCCATTCTCTATTTTTTGGGGGGGGAGTGTTTGCAGAAGCAAGGACGCGCCTTGCATATCATGTAATTCAATCTTTGCAGTTTCAGAAAAGAAATACTAAAAGAAGTTGGTTTTCTTTCATTTTCTTGATTTAGACTTCAGGAGGTAGTGTCCAGAATGAAGTTCTCCATACTTATAATTCACTGTCACTTAGTGTTAGTCATCAACAATTTTGATTTTTCGATGGCAGATTGATTACTAATACCAACTGCATTTTAAAATCCCTGAATAAATCCGTTACATTTTGTTTTTTAAAGATTTATTTATTTATTGGAAAACCAGAGTAACAGAGAAAGGCAGAGAGAAAGATAAATGTTTTATCCATGAATTTAGTTCCTAAACATCTTACATGAGACTTGGTCAGGTAAGAACGACAAGCCAAGAATGTCCTTGGCGTCTGCCACACAGCTGCAGGGATCTGGATCTGAAGTGGAGCAGCTGGGACTCAAACCTGCACTTGCAAGGGGTGGAGGCAGCAGCTTTCCCAGCTATGCTACAACGCTGGCCTGCTTGGCTTGTTTATCCATGTACAGTAAGAAAATGAATATTACTAGAGTATTAAAAATCAGTCTTAATATCTAAATGTTTAAACAATACAAAAGTCTGATTTAATGAGAGAAACTCATTTGATGACCTTAAGTTACTTACTGTGGCTTTTGGGGATATTACTTTATTTGGAGTTTCTAATGAAAATAAAACATATACCTCCGCATATATATTCAAATTGAATTAATTAAATTAAATTAAATTAAATAATTGAACACATATGTGTGCACACATGCTTGTGGATGTGTGTGGTCATTCAACTTCTTACAAATTCACTTAGATGATTTCGAAGGGAATAAATGTGCTTTTTAATGCCTGCAGTCGGCAAGGCATTTAAAAATGTCTTTAAACAAATGATTGGATAAAACTGTATTAAAATAATTCATTTAAATTCAAACTGAGAAGAAAACTGCTTGTTCTTCATTTTCAAGTGTCTCAAACTTGTCTGTGTGGTTCCCATCTTCATTACCAACTTGTAGCTCAGACAAAACTAAATTTTCCCTGCACAATATAAGTCTTTTCATTTTTACTCTTAATTTAATAATTTACTTACTTTTTTGAGATGTTTTCATTTTACATTATAGTCAAAGACATAAAGGAAGTACTACATAAGTTCATTAAATAAAATGTAAAAATATTATAGTCCAACAATGAAATAGGCAATGGTTGTAAACAATAATCAAATTAAAACTGTTTGATCTCACTCATAAATTTAAATTTAAATAGTCAAAATTGTTCAAACTCTAATAGTAGGGAATTTCTATCGATTTGTTTGGTAAAGATTTAAAATAAAGTTTGGTGAAAGACTGTACTATATAGGGGCTCGGTATCATGTCTCCATGGCTAAACCTTCATCTTGCCAGCGCCAGGATCCCATATGGGTGCTGGTTCATGTCTCAACTGCTCCACTTCCCATCCACCTCCCTGCTTATGGCCTGGGAAAGCAGTAATGGATGGTGCAAAGACTTCTGACACTCCACCCACATGAGAGACCCAGAAGTAGCTCCTGTCTCCTTGCTTTGGATTAGCTTATCTCGAGCCAGTGTGGTCATTTGGGGAGTGGATGGGGAGTGAACCAGTGGACAGATCTTTCTCTCTGTCCCTAACTCTCTTCATAAATCTGATCTGGCTTTCCAACTAGAATGGATAAATCTTTTTTTTTTTTAATGTACTGTATATGTCTTAACTCATGTCCTGGCTTTCTTCACGTGCCGAGCAGAAGGAATTCCCAAACCTAGGATTTCCTGGATACATAACAAGTAATTGCTAGGCATGTGCATGCACTGCCATAGTCCGGTTTCTGATTTCAGCCATGTCTTTTCAAACTTTATCCCTATGGAGAAGAAATGACTATGAGGATTTTGAGATAATTATGTGTTTTTCTTTCTATCCAGAAGACTTTTTAAAAACAATTATGTTTCTGTACTTCACTGTTTCTCAAAGTGACTCAAATAAGTTTAGGAAGAAACATTATATTGGTTAGCAAATTAATTTTGTTTCTGCATTAAATCTGATGAACTCATCCATGCAAATTTAGATATAAAATGACATTTCATATTTAACATTGCAACTTTCCTATAGTAAAAAGTATTAGATAAAGTCAGTGAATTCATCATCAAGAATGTGGAAGATTATTTACCCTTGATTTATTTTATTTTTATTGCACTCTTTATTACAGATTATCTGCAAGTCTTAGAGTGTATAAAATAATTATAACCGATTATGAAAAAGTTAAAAATTATATGAAAGGGATGGAGAGGCAATGTGTAATAAATGTGCTGTTTGCCTATTATATGTCAGAAATAGTACTTGAGTAATTATATTATTGAAAACTAGCATGATTTTAATGTATCTCTTCCACTCTTACACAGCATTTACTTAATTTTCTTCTGTACTGTGAATAATCAATTCTGATTTTTTGTGCTCATCTTTGTGACACATCCGAGATATTACAGTTTTTTATACTTTATGCATATAATTTGGATTTCTAATTTTAACTGAAAATTCAGCTATGCTTGTATAAAAAGGCTTCTAATTCTTGCAGAAAATTAATAAGTGCAAGTTAAAAATAGCTTGAATAGATGGCAATCATGAATACTATTAAATTTGGAATCTAGTCCAGGAGAAATGCTTCCATTGAGAGAAGACTCCAATTTGTTTGCATTCAATTTGTTCAATTTGTTCAATGGCACCTGAAGACAAGAGACTGCTGTGATTACATTTTAAATCTAGCTAGTCTTCTTATGCTTACTTTGGAAATGATGTGTTCAAGATTGCTAAGGTACTGATTGGTACTTAGAAAGGGTTATGTTCATGTGAAAGAAAATGAGCAAATGAAAAAATGAAGGGACCAAATGAAGGAAAGGTAATGTATAGGCAGAAGTATCTGTTAAAATAATAACGATTTCAATCCAGTGTTTTAGTATGGTGGGTTATGTAACTGCCTGAGATATTTATATCTCATATGGACACTGATTTAAATACTAGCTGCTCCGCTTGCAATAAAGCTCCCTGCTGATGCGTTTGAGAAAGCAGCAGAGAATGGTCCAAGTGTTGTAGCCATTTGGGGGGGTGAACCAATGAATAGATGATCTTTCTTTCTCTCTCCCTCTCTCTCTCTCTCACTGTGTCTGCTTTTTAAATAAAGTATAAACCAAAGTTTTAAAGAAAAATTGAAAATGAAAGAGAAGAGGTTATGATAAATGTGTAACAAGGACAAATATCCTTAACTTACTGACGATTTTCAGTAGGTATTATCAGAAGATAATACAAACTTTGAAAATGGGTAGGATATAGAATAAAGTATGACAGATAATTTGAAACAAAAATCTATTTTACTAAGTTAAGAAAAATACAATGCAAACTCAATACAGTCCCATCACTGTCCTTTAATTCCCTGCAGGAGACAGCTCTTATGTTGACTCTAAGGTGCTTGTAGGAGTGAGTGAGGAATCGATTAGATACAATCAAAGATAGAATTAGAAGTTTAGAGTGCAGATTTATAAGAATAGCCAATATCTCAAAATGGTCAGGTACACAGAAATTTCAATGCAAATTTCAATGCAAAAACAGAAAATATCCAAAAGGAGTTCCAGAAAAAGCGGTTATAAAGAGACACCACAAGCAGTGTTTGAGAGGTAAGAACAGAAAAACTTCCAGAAATGAAAGACACAATATTTCAAACTAAGAATTATATTACTTCTGAAACAAAATTTTAACCCAAAATATTTATCTGGTGTACTGTGATCACAACACTGAAAAAGATAAAAACCTTTTGTCCTGGAGTAATTTGCAGATTTCTTTCTTTCTTTCTTTCTTTCTTTCTTTCTTTCTTTCTTTCTTTCTTTCTTTCTTTCTTTCTTTCTTTCTTTCTTTCTTTCTTTCTTTCTTTCTTTCTTTCTTTTTTTTAAAGATTTATTTTTATTATTTTTTTATTGGAAAGGCGGATATACAGAGAGGAGAGACAGAGAGGAAGATCTTCCATCCGATGATTCACTGCCTAAGTGAGCGCAACGGGCCGATACTATGCCAATCCGAAGCCAGGAGCCTCTTCCGGGTCTCCCACTCAGGTGCAGGGTCCCAAAGCTTTGGGCTGTCCTCGACTGCTTTCCTGGGCCACAGGCAGGGAGCTGGAAAGGAAGCGGGGCCATTGGGATAGAACCGGCGCCCATATGGGATCCCGGGCGTGCAAGGCGAGGACCTTTAACCACTTGCGCCACCGCGCCGGGCCCTCTTTTTTTTTTTTTAAGATTTATTTATTTATTGGAAAGTCAGATATACAGAGAGGAGGAGAGACAGAGAGGAAGATCTTCTGTCCGATGATTCACTCCCGAAGTGAGCGCAACGGCCGAATCTATGCCGATTCAAAGCCAGGATCCAGGAACTTCTTCTGGGTATCCCACACAGGTGCAGGTTTCCAAAGCTTTGGGCTGTCCTCGACTGCTTTCCCGGGCCACAGGCAGGGAGCTGGATGGGAAGTGGAGCTGCTGGGATTAGAACCAGTGCCCATATGGGATCCAGGAGCATTCAAGGCGAGGACCGCTATGCCACGCTGCCGGGCCCTATCTTTTTATTTATTTATAATTTTTTTTCAGATTACTTTCAAATGTGTAGCAATTGCACTTATTATGAACTTCAGATCAGAAACAAGTCAATGAAATGGGTTAAGAAAAAGTAAATCATTCAGTTTTATGTCCAAGTAAATTTTCTTAAAAGACAAAAGCTTTTGAGAACGAAGTCAATTTAGCTCTGGAATATTGTCTGGAAGAACTATAAGTAGATGCTAAATCCACAGTAAGAGGTATTATGCAAAAAGCAAGGGTGAATAAAATAATTTTTACATTATTGATAAATATAAATTGTGACTTACAGGATTTAGAATTTTAAAGTCAGGCAAAAATCACAGATTAAAGAATTTAATAAAAGAACTTTACAGAGAAAAGATATAATTAAATCATTTTGCATGCCACAATTTGAGAAGACGGGCGTTTCCTTGAACTTAGTTGCTAATAGTTCATTTAAAGGAGCAGGTATTTGCTTAGCAGTTTAGATACACACATTTCACATTATGTGGGTCCACATCTGACTCCATTCCTGACTCCACCTCATGATAATGTAGGTCCTGGTGGGAAAAAGTGGCTCAGGCCGCTGGGATCCTACCGCTCACTGGAACATCAGATTGCTATCCTTCACCTCTGGCCCAGACTTATCTAATAAGGATACTTAAACTGTCATCCAGGAGCTGTGAAGCTGTCTCCAAAACTGATGAAAACATCTCTTAAAATCTTGTTAAAATTATAATGAACACTAATGAATGGGAGTATTCTTTCCTATCAAAGGGATTAAAGATGGAAAAGAAAACTGGATCAACTTAAGCCAAGAGAAGAAAGACCAGATTTAAAAAAGCTAGAATAAAAACTTAGAAAAGAGAAACATGAAATAACTCATCAGATATAAATTGAAACATGTCAGTAAAAGCAGTAAATAGCTTATCAAACAATATAAGGCTGGATGACAAAACCAATTTGTATGCTCTCTCTTTTCTTAAAGATTTATTTTATGTTTTTAATTGAAACACAGTTACAGAGAAAAAAGGAGAGAGATGCACGTGTGCGAGACAGAGAGCAATTGATCCTTCATCCACTAGTTCCTTCTCCAAATGATCACCATACTGAGATCTGGGACAATTTGAAGCCAGGAGCCTATAGCTTCTTCCTACATGATGTAGGAGCCAAAGCATTGGAGACACCTCTGCTGCTTTCCCAAGAAGTAAACAGGAGCTGGATCAGAAGTAGGGCAGCCAGGATACAAATCAGTGCCTCTGTGGAATGCCATTGTTACAGCTGGAGATAGCCTACTGCATGGCAGAGCCAGCACTTGTATGCTCTTTAAAAGAGGTAATTTTTAGACATTATGACATTGGGAGATGTGAGGTTGAGACAATTAGATGTAATGATGGAATGGTACTTAATAAAATAAATTAGTCCAGCAATACTGATGTCAACTAAAATCAACTTCAAGGCAACTGTATACCATAGATCATGAGTGGAACATACATGAACCTTTCTTGGTATGCCTGACAATACAGCTGCTAAAAACCAAAATTATATCATAAGAATAAATTGACACCCAGGCCCCTCCAGACCCCCATCCCAGAGGCTCACAGATCTAGCACCCACCTCACAGGAGGATGACTTGGGATCCACTAGATCCTCACTCCCCAGAGTTCATGGCCCTGGCACCCACCACATAGATGGGCACGGCGACCTGAACCAGGAGACTAGGGCCTCTCTGCACCCCCACCCCTGGGGCTCATGGATCAGCACCCACCACACAGGCTGGCCCAAGGACCCTGGCCAGGCAATTCAAGCGCTGCCTGATCCCCACCTTTGGGGCTCATGGACCCGGCACCTACCACATAGGCAGGCTCAAGGACCTGGGCCAGGAGACTCAGTCTCTGCCAGACCCCACCAATCCTGGGGCTCTCAGAGCCAGCACTCATGGCTCAGGCAGGCTCAAGTAACCAGGCCAGGTGATCTGGACTCTTTCTGATCCCCTACCCTAGTGCTTAGGGAGCTGGCACCCACCATGCAGGTGGGACCCATATCTGCACCAGGCAACCAAGCCCCACAAGAACCCCACAACAGGGGTTCACAGCACCCACCATGCAGTCAAGCCCAATAATCCTGGGCCAGGTGAATTGAGCCTTGACAGACCCCTATCCCTGGGGTTCACAGATCCAGCTCAATGTGAAGATGGG